CACAGACATTAAGTCATTCTGGATACCTGAACAGCTTTCCTGTAAACAAGAAAGTTGCCTCTTAATGTTTAACAAGGAATTGGCTTTTTAATATGTTTCGATGCAGTTTGTTTTGAAGCAGCCTGCATCTGTGACAACCAGACAAATGATTAACAAAAATATGACACGATCAGAGAAAATATATAACAAAACAGGAGAGCTAGGATTGGGATAAAAGAGTTAGCTACCCTCTTTCTTTCCTTTCTGCTCCGAGTCCATCAGACCTCACTTGACAAATAGCAAGCACCAAGTCCATCTGTTTGCCTGCAAAGCCTTTATATCCAACTTTACTGTACAAATAGTGTCTTGCAGTCTTTGAAGCCTTCTGCTTCAAATGGGATAACCAAAGAATTCCCTCATGGAGAGGAACCATTCCCAGTCCTGCCCACAAACTCATTAGTTTTGGGGAAAGGCACCCTGAAGCAGACAGGGCAAATATGCAATGCAGCACACTCCAGACAATGGAGTCATCTTCTGTCAGCACTGAGAAGCCAGAGTCACCTGAGGAGGCTCTAAACTGTTCAAAGCACCTGCTTTCAGATAGTGTGGAACTGGCTCCCTTGTCATGAAGGAGCATTGCAGTTTCTACTGTCAACAAAAAGATGTTTCTTGCCCTAACAATACAAACATAGACACTTTGCCTAGTTGAACTGTGAATCACCTTAAAATATTCCCCTTCTATTTCTTTTCTGCCACAAGTTAGTCTTCACAAATAGAAATACGTTATTGAACAGATTCATTTATTTTTATTTTCCCTTGTAGAGGCCTTACACTTGCAAAAATGCAATAAAACATTCGAGGCAGTGAATCAGTCTACAATGAAGTTCTCCCTTAGTACATTTGAAGGTGTGAAGGCATATAACTGTGGTTAAAAGGATTTTCTCTTCCTCTGGCTAAGTAGTAAATTATCCACATCACTTTGAAAAGCCTAGGAAGGAAGGACAATTTTCTTCACCTCCATGCTGAAGCAGCAGCAGGTCTTGCACCAGAGCACAGAGAACAAGGACAGTCATCTGTTTGAAATTCAGGTTGTCTTTATTTTTGTTCACACTGAAATATTTGCATTTCAAGAAGCAGCTGAATTTTCAACAAGATGTCTGATACTATACTGCATCATGCTTCCCACTGACTTTCTGCTAAACTAAACCAAAGCTAAAATCAGTACAAGGATGAGTCTTTTTCTCAACAGCTGGAGAAAAGGGACAGACCCACAGTAAGAGTAGTGTGAAGGAGGGACTCACCGCTGCTGTTGTTCTGGGGAAAGAGGACCAGAAAAGGGAACAGGTTTGCCCAGGCGCTGCTCGCTGCCCAGACTGGTGGCAAGGAGGGGGCTAAGGGCAAGCCCTTAGCACTGACGCTGCTCTCTGCTTCCCTCTCTGCTTCCTTCCCTTTCTTTAGGAAGCTCTTTTAGCACATTTCAGTTCACTTCACCCCCATTTTCTTTTGGTATATCAGGAATCTCTTTCATTTCCTACTTTGCTGTGTGATGGCTCTGTGTGGACCACTCTTCAGTATAACTGACACATTTCACTTCAGCAGTGCCTGCATTTTGGTGCTTGACAAAGTATAGATGTAGACCCATGGCAAACACTGCCTTCCAGAAGTCATTCATCAGTGCTCAAAGGCCGTCAAATCATTTTAGGTGGATAGATGCACCCATGACCCCTGATTTTATGCTGGACCTGACAACTATGCTAAGCTTGATGTCATTCTGACCTGAAGTGGATCTTAAAAGTTGCTGAATTTAGTACTACATGCCATAATTCTTGAGGTGTCATGTTCTCAACCAGGGTTTAATTCATTTCATGGAGCTTTGGGCTCAATAGCTTTAAATGTAGCAAATACCGGAATCTCAGTAATATATGTGCTTCAAAATGAATTAATTAGAGAAAAAATACTTCAAGCTGCCAAGTCACATCTGAAATACCCCAGAGCAAAATAAGCCATAAAAATATGTATAGATATTAACTGAAACACTCCAGCTTTAACTCCTGGACCAGACCATGAGGATTGTTATCTAGTTTTCTCTGATGTTTTTCTTCCTTTCAAATGTTTGACCTCATCCTCTGTCCAGCCACAAGTCCCTACAACTCCTATCCACAATCCTTTTCAGGCAAGAAACTGCACTGTGTTCTTTCTGTTACTATCATTTAAATGTGCTCATAAAATACAGAAATGCCATTCTGTATTTGGTCTAAATATATATGACTCCTTTTCTACTATTTTTTATATAAATATATTTTTATAAATCCTTCCATTGCACACTCAGAAACCATGGGTGACTGATTGTCCTGGTTTTGGCTGGGATAGAGTTAATTTTCTTCCTAGTAGCTGGCACAGTGCTGTGGTTTGGATTTAGGATGAGAATAATGTTGATAACACACCAATGTTTTAGTTGTTGTGAAGTAGTGCTTACAGTAGTCAAGGACTTTTCAGTTTCTCATGCCCTGCCAGCGAGAAGCTGGGAGGGGGCACAGCCAGGACAGCTGACCCAAACTGGCCAAAGGGATATTGGATGAGAATTGTTGATAACACACCAATGTTTTAGTTGTTGTGAAGTAGTGCTTACAGTAGTCAAGGACTCTTCAGCTTCCCATGCTCTACCGACTGAGAAG